AGCTACAGACAGTATTGTCAACAGTTGGGAAACTTCCAACTAAAAAAAAAAAAAAAAAAAGAATTTGTGTTGAAGAGACTGCCTCCTCTTGGCTTTTGGTTCTATTTCTATCCAGTGACATACTCGTAACAAAAAATGTTTGATTGCACCAATTTAAAAGTATGTAACTGACTTACCCAATGTTTAAAATGGTTTAAATCACTCTTGAGCCAGAAAAAGAATACTTCCCAAGTTTCAAATAAGTTTTGAGTGGTGAAGTGTTTTCAAGCTCAGGAAGGCTTTATTACTACTGGAGCTGACCCAAGTATTCAACAAGAACATCTGGTACGTGGTTTTCTTTCCCAGTTTGTACACGTAACAACTTCTGAATGACAACCACTCCTACAAGCTATTTTTAAAAGACAGAAAAAGTGCAGCCATGGATCTCTGGAAAGCAAAGCTCTGAGATCATCTGAGCATACTGAGACCACGTGGGCACAAACAAACTGAAACATGAGAGGTTCCCTCTGAACATCCAGGAACACTTTTTTACTGTGAGGTGTCTGAGCAATGGCACAGGTTGATCAGGGAAGCTGTGGAGTCTCCATCATAGAGATGTTCAAAAGCCATCTGGACATGGTCCTGGGCCACTGCTTAAGCAGGAATGTTGGACCAGATCTCCAGATGTCCCTTCCAACCTCAACCATTCTGCGACCATGTAACAATGCATTGTGTTATATGAGTAAAAACATTTGGAAATAAATATAGCTAACTGAAAAGCTATTTTGATGGTGCATATAAATACTTAAATACATAAACCCAAGGATTACATGTTTTCCTTACATCCTTTTTTAGGATATTGAAAAAACACATTGCAAGAGAACTAGAAAAAGGAACACCTGGGTTAGGGTTAGGGTTAGAGGTCAATTTAATGTAACCAATTTACATATAAGGAAATCAGAGACTGTAAAGTGAGAAGAAAACCTACGCAAACCCCAACGTTTTATATGAACAGTACAATTATCCTAGAAAAATGTACTACATTTGGGCAAGCTTTAATAGAGCTAGAGTGGCTGTGGTTCCTAAACAAGTTACAGCTACTTCCGTTTTAAAACTCTGTTTAGATGCAAATTAATTTATGAAACACATCAGTTTATTATCACTAAATAAGAGTTTTGGGAGGTATTTTAAACATAAATGCATTCATGCTTTTCCACAAAAGGAACTAGTTGTGTTCCCTTTCTACAGCTATCCATTCTCCAGTCCATTAAAAATGTCTCTTTTAGAGGCAATTTCTGTCACTTAAAAATACTCACATTTACATTCTTGAATAAGAAACCATTTTCATCCTCCCTTTGCTGCTGTTAAGAAACTATACATTACTGAAATATGCTTCCCTTTTCTAGCTGATTTCTCATATCAGGTTTCCTAAGTTTAAACTAGATGATATGCCAATCCTTTCAGAATGAGGACATTTTTCACAATAAAAGTTTTACAAGGAATAATGTAAACTGGAAAAACTGTGCTTCTGTTATTATAATTCCTCTGATTCCTGACAATTGAAAGTTTTCTTTCTTCAGTCTATCTTATGCAGCACACAGCTATAAGACACTGTGTTAAACTTTTTTGTCTTTATTTTTCACCTATGTCAGCAGGTCTTCTTATCAGTAAAGACAGTGAGGTCGGAACACAAATAGTTGCTATATAAACAATGTTGACAATAGCTATGTGACTGACCACATCACTTGGAATACTTTCAAACTTGACAAGGTTTAAATGACTACTCTTCTTCTTTTAAATATACACCATTTTTAAAAAGCATTATTTTAGGAAACACATTTGAATCAGCCAAAGCAAAAGTGACAACATTGTTTTAAACAAACCTTGACCCGAGGAAGCACTGATTTCATACAGCAACCCTTCCAGCAGCACCTGCTGGGACTGAGACACTCGGAGCAGAACAGACCAGCTACTGGCTGCCTCAGTGGATAACAGGAGAGCAGCAGATGTTGTTTATCTTGACTTTTAGAAGGCTTTTGACAGTGTGTCCTACAGACAAATTGATGAAGTACAGATTACATAAATGGATACTGAGATGAACTGATATCTGGCTGAACTGCTGGGCTCAAAAGACTGTGATCAGTATGAAGTCCATCTGGAGGAAAGTGACTGCTGGTGTACCACAGGGATCAATACTGTGGCCAGTACAGCTTAATCACTTCATTAATGACCTGGATGATGGGACAGAGTGCATGCATCCTCAGCAAGCTTGCTGATGACAGGAACTAGGAGTGGCTGATACACTAGCTGGTTGCACTGGCATTCAGGGGGACCTTGAAAAGCTGACTAATAAACCAACAGGAATCTCTTAAAATTCACAAAGGAAATACAAAGCCCTGCACCTCAGGAAGAATAACCCCATGCAACAGTACGGGATGGGGGATGACCAGCTGCAAGCAGCTCTGCAGAAAAACACTTGGGGGTCCTGGTGGGCTCAAAGTAGACCATAAGCCAGCAGCATACCCTTGTAGCAAGGAAGGTTAATAGCATCTTGGGCTGCATTAGGAAAATTGCTGCCAGAAAGTCAAGGGAGATGGATGATCCTTCCCCTCTATTCAGCACTGATGAGACACATCTGAGTGCTGTGCCGACTTGTGGGCTCCCCAGTACAAGCAAAACATAAGCAGCCTAGAATGAGTCCAGCAAAGGACTGCAAAGACGATTAAGGGATTGGAGCATTTGACATATGCAGTGAGATTGAAAGAGCTGGGTACCCTAGCCTGGAGAAGAGAAGGCTCAGGGAGATCCTACCAACATGTATAAATATCTTAGGGTGGCAGGGGTACACAATTTCTCAGAGGTGCCCAGCAACAAGGCAAGAGTCAATGGGCATAAATTAAAACAGATTAAATCCCCAGAGCAGTAGAAAGCACATTTTTACTGTAAGGGTGGTCAAGCACTTGAACTAGGTGGCCAAGCAGCAAGCTGCTCTAGTTGATCATGCTTTGAGGAGGGGGAGTGTTGGACTGGACGATCTCCAGACACCCTTTGCAACCCCAGTTATTCTGTGGTGCTTAGGGTAAGAGATAAAAGGAAGGCAACTAAATCTGAGTAATATGGACTTCATGTCAGTGGTTTTCACTGCACAGACCAAGCCTTCAATAAGATAAAACAGTTCCACTGCGTATCGGTTACCTGTATCTCACTGCACTCTATGAAGGCAAGTTGTTTAATTAGACTCAGAAAAAACTTCATTGTGCTGCTACAACAAAACAAGTTGTTTTTCTATCCCATGCAACTGCTGATGCCCAAGAATGTAGGTCTAAGCAGGATGAGAACTACCTAACATAGAGATTAAGACAATGTATGTTTACACCAGCCAAGTAAATCACTTTATTACCTATTACAATGTCAATTTGTATCAGCAAACTTCCATCACTTTAATGGATTTCTTTGCCTCCCTCCAGTCAGTACTCAATCACTAAAGCCCTGTTTAACCAAAAAGCCATCCTCGTTTTGTAATGCCTACTCTCTTGCATCAAAATATTGACAGCTGTGTTTCGAAACTGTAGGAAAAATGAGAGGAACCAAGAGAACGTCACAAAGAAAAGCTAAAACATCTCAGTCATGAGGAGCAAGCACCTGTGCACTGACCCAATTAGACATTCAAACACTTGTCACTTTGGAGCTGGCTGGTTGTCACTCATCCAAGTAGCCTCAGGGGACCTATTGTATGGTGGAATTCCCTGACAGGAGAACTGGAGCTATGGAGGCAATGAGGGCACAGTGATAGGGTGCCAGGATCCTGGTGAGCCAGAGCAGCAAGCAGCAAAGCCAAAGAACATCAGAGCTTCCTTTACTTGGTTACCATCCAAAAAGCCTTTCACAGTCTTCAATGGTTATCTTTTTTCCAGAGCAGTCTAGTTTAAAAACCTTACGGTAACAGTCCTCTTTATCCCAAGCTACATTTAACTCCTCAGTGACTAGCACAAGAGCCATTTCAGAAGAGATTCCTGAAAGATTAAAAATATAATAATGATAAAAAAATATTTTCATGGCAGGGAGAGGATGTACTATATGTTACTTTTAGTAATACCACCAGCATGTAATTCAGAGGTCAAAACATTTCAGAGCCCATCTCCTCCCTTTTCTGTTTTAAACATACTATTGATGCTTTCAGATGCTCTGTCTGCTTGAACACATAAGGGACAAACCACTGCACAGCCACCCACGCCTACACACTATAAGAGATAGAAAAGGTCTGTTCCAGTAAGCTGCATACAATACTGCATTCAGGACCCCCAAATCAGATTTTTCATTCAAAAAAAGTAATAATCAGATATTAGAACACAAATGACTATTCAGCAGCTACTACTGACTTCAAGTAAGGCTATCTCCGTTCTTATGCTGAAAGATTAATGCAACTCAAATACAAGAGTAGGAAGGAATTGGAGGGGGATTGAAATAAGAAAAATCAAAGCTTGCTTCGAAACTTTCCAAATAGACATCTAACATTAGGACCTATTCCATGAGAGTAAAGAATTCAGAATGCCCCTATAACCAAATCTGTGACCCATGCTATAAGAAAATCTTCTATTATTTTGTTAAAAACGTATTCAAGTGCCTTCTAAGTCCATTTTTCCAGACTCCGTTTTTTACTAGTTGACTTGTCCCAACACCTGTTCTCACCAGCAAGGAACACCAGAGATTAAGGCTACCTTCAATTATGTGAAGCTATGAAACACTTCTAACTGCCTTTCCAGTTAATGTATTTGATATGAGCCCTTCAGTTAAAAGCTGAGCTGACATTTTAAAAATTATACTAATCACAAACTCCTTAAACAAACATGGAAATGCAGGTAAATGCAGAACATGTCACATGACTACCCTGATAGTACTTAATAGAAACTGAACAGAAAGATAGAAACTTAACAGATAGAAACTTAATGTCAGTAAAGTTTTTTTTTTTATTTTCCCAGTAAGCATGAGAAATTAAAATTTTGAGAGAAAAATTATCTTACCTTTGTACAAATAACTTCTGAGCAAGATGCTCTCTATCTTCTTTCTTATTCCCTGTATGACAGGTCTTTATGTCACTGCCTTGCCTGAAAAAAATCACATACAACCTGAAACATTTATAGATGCCAATAATTATATTCACTGTTAGACTACAACAAAGACATCAGATATGTCTTGATACAGCTGCAATGCTAAATTCAGTTAAGTGGAATGGTAGTTTAATAGGAACTGATTTATACATGTTGGGTTGAAAAAAGAATAACATTAGGGGGGAAAACAACCAGGCTCCTTGGGTTTCAAAATCATGTTTTGCATTTCACTCTCCAAAATAACATAGCCAGTCACATCAAATCAAACCAGACCACCCATTTGATCATCCAGGTTTGCAGTATCATCAGTGAAAAACAGTCAGTGCTTCACAAAGCTTGAGCAAGCCTAACCTAACCTAACTTAACCATATCTTTCTAACACTCAGTAACCCAGCTTAAGGCACACTGGGTAGCTCCATCTCCTCAGGACTAAACACTTCAGTGGTCTTTGGGATATAGATGCCCAAGCTTGTAAAAAGACATCTGCTGGAAGAGGTCATAGCAGGTGACAGCAAGCCTCTACTGTGGGAAAAGCCTTTGGTCACAGCACTTTCCCAGAGACACATGTGGGATTACAGTCAATTTGTAATCTGAGATCCCATTTTCTACAATAATATCCTAAATTCTATTTGAGGGATGGGACAAACAGCCCCCTTCCCTACCCAGCACCCACCCCCTCATATTAAAAGCACAAGACAGAGAAAGAGGAAACAGTGGGAGAGGTTTTGTTTTGAATTCAGATGCTACCTTCTTCATTTATTCACAGCAATTCTGCACCCAGACCCTTTCTTCTCTTACTCTTTGTTACTTTAACCCATTTTAAACACATCAGAGTCTTGTTGAGAAGGTTGATTATTTTTCCATGGTAATGCATATGTGGAGTTCAACTTTCAAGTGAGTAAGGTTCAAGTAAGATCATAAATTGTGAGAGTGAGCTTCAGAAAGTTTCAACTGAGGATTCCCCTTTCATCTTTACAGTACACGTTGCTCATCTGCAAAGTCAGTTATGCTTGCCACTATACGCAGCCCTTATTTCAGTGGACTAATGGCGAAGTGACACTAATAGCAACAGATTAGCATCACTGCAGCACCCGTTATTTCATATACTGTACATAAAAGTATATACATTTTATTGTCATAAAGTTCACTGTTTACTCCTAACTGCAGATTAGCACTGTTTGGTTAGGTAAAACAGGAGAGACTGCAAAATCTCAGCTTACAATGGTGATACTGTAAGATTGGTTTAATTTCCCATCAAATTGATAAAGCAATTGTACAATTTATTTCAGTATCCTTTTAAAAGCCTTTTTACAGTTAAATTGGTCTGCTGACTGGCAAAACCCCAACTGTTGGCTAGAGCTCCCCTGTAGCTGTTACTTTCACTAACAACCAGCACTTCTCATAAATTGCTCATGATCAGGCTCTTTCAAATCAACTTGTTGCTCTTACATAATAAAGCACTGGAAATAATACATTACCTTGATAACTTTTGAAGTTTGACATACATAATTCATTTCACTGGGGTGAAGTTTACTTAGGTAATTCACTTTATTGCCTTCATCTTTATTCAGACACTCAAATCCTTTCCAACCCCCCACCTCTATATTCAGCTGGAACAGCTGCCTGCAACCAACAGGACCTTGATGAGCCACAGTCAACAGAACTTGCATTCAGAACTGCTACATGCATGCAATTTTTAATTGACCAAAACAGTTGAATATGACATTGATCACACAAATTCTGTATAAAGGTAATGTCTACATCCAGCCTGTCATGGACTGAACCTGGTGGTTCAGTCCACTAACTCACTGTCTCCAAGACAAGATCAGAGCACGCTTTAGGGAATACTTCAGCCCAAGGGACCCTTCCCAACGGCAGTATGGGTAAGGCTATGTAAGTTTTGATTCTCCACTCCAGACAGTCCTGCAGTTCTCCCATGCAAGACAACGCATCCTCTGTTACACACTCCACCTGGCAATGTCACACATTGGAGGACACACCACAGACTTAAGAGTATTAGGCTGCAAAATCATAACTTTGATGGGCTGCAACACAGCTGTCACTATTTCAGGTACTCTGAACTTTAAACACTAGCTGCATATTAGGTCTGCAGGAACACTGCTGTACTCAGATGAAGCTCAAGTTACAGCCAGTCTATTTTATGAGAGATTAATTTTCTAAAACATTAAAATGCAGAGGCAGAGAAACCTCTGTCAACCAGCCTAACTTGATGACAGGAATTTGCCTGTGTCTTGCTGTTATTACCAGTAAAGAACAGCTGTAGCCTGAAGGGGTATACTTAGAAGTCAGGCATGCTCTTAAACCTAGGGATGGCTTGCGTAAAACCTCACATACAGCAGAAAACCACAGCTCTATTGACAGTGCAGGTAATCTTTTCCAGACTTCTAACACTCATTAAAAGAAAAGGGAAAACCTCATCACTCTATTCCCCTTACTGTTTTGAAGTAAATATGGTCATTTAATAGTATATTTGGTTTGGTAAGTAATATGACTCACAATTTTCCATGGTTTATTGGTAGGAAAGAAACTGTACTACAGCCAAACTGATTCCAATTTCTGGGTAAGAAATGGTCACAATATCAGTCTCTTTGGATGCTCAGACAACACACATGCTGCTCCAAAAAAAAAATATTTGCTATAGTTCTTCTTGACATCTGCAGCTTTAACCTATTTACAGTCCATGACCAGATTCGTTTGCTGTAACATCATTTATTTTCTCTGATAGTCTCTTAGAAGGGAGCTTAACAAAAGCTTGAAACCAAGGAAATCATACCCATGAGAAGTTCTGTAAAACATGTGCAGAAGAGCACCTGAACATCCAAGAAACATCTCGGGTGAATGAAGAAGTAGAGAAGCATTCTCAGATTACTTCTTTTGCTGTCTGACAGCAGACATGAAAGTTTGCATTTTTATTCACAATGTTAAGTGCGTGAAGAGGAATTACTCTGAATTACTTGGTGACATGATCTTATAGCAACAGGTAAAGTCCCACGTATTTCATACTAGCCACAAACCCCTCATGGCCAGATATAGAATCATGGAATCATAGAATCGTTAGGGTTGGAAAGGACCTTAAGATCATCTAGTTCCAACCCCCCTGCTGTGGGCAGTAGACATGTAAAATAATAAGCAGATGTCTAGTTTCCAAAGTGAGAGGAGCATTTGTACCCATACGGGAAAATAATGAGTGAATGGATAGTATGATTTATTCTTTGTCTAGATTAAAAAAATGTTTTAGAATTAGATGTATTTCAAATCATGTAATTCGCTTGACCACCAGCATATTGCAGAAATGTAAAGCACACTTCTTACTTTCCCAAACATTATTCTGTATATTTATTAACTTAAAAATTTGTGAAAGAACTAAAATTTACACAGTATTTTTGCTTTACAAATTTCTCTGCTAATAGTGTTGATAGACTTCAGGGAAGTAAAATTTAGAATGAAAAATCCATAGATTGTAATACCTGTCTATGCAAAAAGTCCAAATATAAAGAATTCAGAATTCAAAATTCCATTTTTATTTTATAATCTGATTGGCCAAATGGTTTTATATACAATGTTTTCAAAATATTCATTAAAAGGCTAAGGCACTTTAATGTTTTCAACGTAACCTTAAAAAAAAGGCAGTAGAACAAGACAATATACAGCTCCCCCCAAAGTTAGTAACGTATCTATATGCATAGATATGTATAATTCAGTTTTCTTTTACTTTACTGCAGAAAGTTATTGAATAGTAAATATTTTCAGGGGACCTGGAAAAAAAATATTTGCTTTGCAATATATAGAACTCATTCAGTGCATTTAAGCAAAGTCTTATGCAATCCAGCACTTCAGCGCACCATTATTCACCCTTATGTCATTTCTGCTTTCAGAACTAAAGAGTAATGAGGAGACCTCAGACAAGGAGAAACAATCACCCTGTTGGTTGATGATGGTAGTGATCCATCTTTTTGTCATATCTATCTTATTTCTGGTAGTGCTCAACCCCAGGTGATTCTGACAGAGTAATAATAGGAAAAAATATCCTGGAAAATACCCTGGAAAAACATCAAGACTAAATTATTTGGGTTTTCATTTTTCATACACACATCCTCATGAAAACACTTCCTTGACAAGTAGTCCTGTTACATTAATATCCCTAAGAACAATACCTTAATTTTCCACATATTATAATAAAAAAAAGAGAATACAAGTTTCATCTTATCTTTAACATGTTGTGAAGTCATGCATACAAATTATAACTGCACTGATATCAGTTCCTACACTGTTAACCAAAGTTATATATTTCAGTAAACTGCATAAAATAGGTTTATTCTCCTTTTAAACTACATTTCCTCATGATCCTTCATTCCAATAAATCAAACTAAGATACAGAAACCTCAGCTATGTAAGTGGTTGAAAAGAATCGGAACAGAAAAGGAAAATCATCCATTACCTTGCACATATAGCTATATAGTCCTCTTCCCTTTTTGATGGATTGCTTTTTTTTTATCCCTTTCTTTTTGTTAGTGAGAGGTAAGAATTTGCACCATGCTCCTCTTCATGTTGTAATCTTGACAAAACTCTGCTGTTAAGCCCTGCTGTTGCTGAACTGTGTGCAGAAGCACGTACAAGAGCAGTCCGTCGCTTTGTCCCCCACCCTCCCAAGCTTCTCTGTGATCAGCACAGGCTTTGTAGCCATACAATAGGGGTTAAACATTTCCCTGTATTTATTTAAAAGCAGAGCTAAATCTGCTTAGCTGCAGGAACCTTTTAGTAAAATGATGCTCACTCTGTAAGGGTATTTCTTCCTTTTTTTTTTAAGAGTAAATAGCTTCTATAATAAAAGGAACTATATATTTATATATCTTGATACAAAAAGAAAAAAAAATTCCTTTTCATTATACACAGTGCATAAACAATGCAGTCACATAAAAATCCACAAGGATTTTTATCCAGATCTTACCCTTTCCACAGTTTCCCCCTAAGCAATGACTTGTGACTTGCCTCTTAACTTGGAGCTCTAATTTGATTTTTCTTTTATGTCAATCTACCTGATGACTTTCCAGCGGGGCAATCCTCTGGTATCCATTGACACTGTCCAACAGGCAGATCATTGCAAAAGGTACTATTTGTGCCAACTGGTGAAATTCCAGCACACCCCCCCCCCCGCCAAATTTAAACACACTGAGAAACAAATGAAAACATTTTAGAAGAGTTGAATGTGCTTGTCCTCAGTACTAAAGCCACTCATTTCACACCCCACATGAACCTCTGGACCACCTTCGCTTTCTAAGGAACTACCCTGAAGCAACACTGCTACAGAACAGTGGCTTTTTTCCAGTTCCTGAGCAAAACAAAAACAGTATTTAAAACTTCTAATTTCTGTTCTGCACAAATCCAGATTTTTTGTTTTAAGTCCAGCTAGATGATTTCTAGCTTTAGGAGTTTTGCATCTTTTTATAGGTAGCAGTAAGAATTCTGTCAGGATTTATTAGCACAAGCATTAGTTCAGAACAATCACCTCATCTTCTCCTTTGAAACCTACTCTGCTCTCAAGGCTTATTAGAACAATGCTTTTCTTTACATAAAAGCACAATTTCTACTTAAGAATCTACTTCAAAGCAGACTACCAGTGAGGTTCAGTAATGACTGCATCCACCTGACCTCTTAAACTTGCCAAAATAGACCAGAGTATCTTAACTGAGCTCTCACTTCACATATGTACCTTGCTTATAGAGCTGCAAGGAACTTAGCCAAGAAGACTAAAAAGCTTATAAAAATAGAAGTTACAAATACAGGTGATTTATTTTTGATGTGAAGATTTATCATCAAGTAATACTGTATTGAATAGGCAAACCCTCTGCCATTCAAAGTTATTGCTTTTTAATTGCACATCTACAGCTGTATATTCTATTGACAACAGCTGACATGAAAATGTAAGTAAGAAGCTACTTACCATGCCACAAATGTGGCACAGTATTAATCTATTATTTGTATTTAGTAAGATTTAATTCCCATAAAAGCTGAATTCTTAAAATCACTATTTTCATGGTTTCGATCATTCCTTCCAAAATGAAGTCCCAGATAGAAAAGGCAATTTTGCCAGTACAGTCGCTCAACTATTTGCTCCCCTCTGCCTTTGACAGCATATCACATCAAGAAATTAGCTAAAAATATAACTGAATGAAAGGGGGGGTTGTGTTTAAATGGGCTTAAGCAGAAATTGTTCTCTGAATTTTAGAGCTGAATGATGGAGGGGCAGGGCTCATTTTGCATCTGACTGACCAAGCCTAATCAGAATTATTTCTACACACTGCTTCACTACAGCTGTTGATCCATTAAACACTAAATACTCCAGAGGCCCGTTACCCTTCAGCTTCCCACTGTGACTCCCACTTTTCAGCCAGTAGCTACTCAGTGGGTTACTCAAAACACTAAAGAAATGGAGGTGCTATATTTAATGGACAGCTCAAAACCCATAGAAAAATCTGTCACTTGACTATCAGGACAGCAGCTATCATAATAAACCACAATCTTTGTGATGAAGACTTAAAAAGAAGCCTTTGAACTAGTTCTCTTACCTCCCAACACATTTTTATTAGGAGGTTTTCAGTCACAGCAGATATTTTTATTTCCACATAAATGATCATGTCTGCCTCTGAAAATGTTCACTGATATACACACTTTTTTTGTGAGAATAATATTACCAGCGGCATCTTGTTTTACATCTTATTACCATTTGAGCCTCAGGAAATCTTTAAACTAACATAACCATTAGGAATATCTTACTGCACAATTTATATATTAACAAAATTACTTTTTAGCCTATTGAACTGCTCAAGCTGAAAATAACTGTGATGTGCACATACAGTGCACAATTCCCTACTTTGAGGTCTGCTCAAGAATAGACTAAACACAGATTCTGAAAAATATCCAGCAATTGCCTGATACTGATTACTTGCCCATCTCTTTTTCCCCATGAACTTTTGGCTTTATTCTCCAAATTTCCTCAACTCTTTCTAGACATATGATAACAGGAGAAGCCACAAACCATTCATGCTCTCTAGAGGTCAAAGTCATACTCCCATCAAAATGCAGCCAATTACTCAGCTGAGATCTTCAAGCAGCTCAACAGCTAGCTAGTCATAGAGTTTAACCCCAGATGTTGCCCCCACACTATAGAAGGTGGGAGTAGGCAAACAGGTGTAGGATCTCTAATTCTAGAAAGACAGCGTGCTTCACAGCTACCCAGGGAAAGGGTACATGAAGACCCAAGGTAAAAGGTGCTCCTGCAGTTAGGTCAGTGCAGTGAAAAATGTAAGTTTCACAATTGTAGTATTGTAATAAAATGGGCTGGTTGTTTCATCTGTTATTTTGGAAGATAATTTAAAAGCTTCATATGCCTAACAATTACACCTGAAATCACATAAATATTATTCCTTCTAAAGACTTAACTATTGAAAGGTATTCTTGGGTGTATCATTACCTCAAGTCTTCTTGTCCACCTGTGGAGGCTGTTACTTCATTTTGATGATCACACAATGACCAAGAGCAGGCATGCTGGATGGGTTTTATAGTTTCTACTACTACTGTCTCTTTGAAAAGAAAGAGTAAAAATACTTTACTCCCTATATGGGACTATACGGAATGCGTAGCCTTGATTTAGCTTTGTTCTTTGCATGCTTTTTGATATTTTTCAATACATATTATTTTTCACATTTTTCCACATGCAAACTGATTTTTTTTTCATTTTCCAGCTTCAATTTCCTTTACTTCACCAGTAAAGTTTTCTGTGATCATAATTCTGTGTGCAGAAGCAAAAGCCATATAGTTCCCAATTTCTTTATGAAGAATCCCTTTAGGATTAGGGAGTCTGAAAAGACTTCAAACCTTAGATGACATTCAAAAACCTAGCTTCATGGGCATATTAAAATAGATCACTGTTCACCTGTATGTCCTCCTCCCAGTGAGTCATTTCAAATATTTGGGCTGGGAGGAGAATTTTAAAGAGTACCTAGATAGTTAAGTGCTATTATGAAGTTAAAATTGTGAAGATGATGATCCTCTGTGGATTTTAAAGTTTATTTTAAACCATCATCATAAGCACTTCTGGTTTTAGCCGTTACCACTGAAACTTCAGGGACTCATTCCTCCTCAGTAACTATTGCCTTTTTTTTTTTTCTAGAAACATACATAACTGAATGTGTCCTGGTATAGAACATCCTTATTCTTTACTAGTAACAAACAGCTTATGGTAGGCAAAGCAGGTTATGTAATTTTAAACCAGACATGAAAAACTACAATTTTTGTTCCAAAATCACTGTAGCACGTATGTCCTGATTATCAGACTTCTCTGTCTTCTTTCTACATTTTCTTGATGTCCTTTGTACCAGCCAAAGCTGGCTACCTGCCAGATAGAGAAAATCACTTCTCAAACACTTTGGGGATGTAGACTTACACTGATTCGCTTTCTCTGAATGTCTTACAGGGAGGGACTTAGCTCCCACATGTAAGACACATAAGCTGTTTATCAGACAAAGAAGTTGTCAAGGAGAGTGAGGTTTCCCAGAAGTGACTCCAACAAAGCAGAATGAGAACAGTCCTCTTCAAATAACTTGTTTCATTCACTTTATTATTTTACCAGCTATAGCACATACAGGTTAGTATTGCCATCGATTCAAGTACATGGGCTTTCTTTCCACTTTAATGTTTCTTTTTTGATGAGGATGCTCCATAAGATTCACAGCATTAACTTTAATTACACTAAGATTTTCTCAATTACTTTTCTGCATTTTGTTTTTCATAAAGGAACAAATGCTTTGCCCTTTCTCTTTGTACACAATGATTGTCCTTGACTGTTGGATGCCTAAAGCAGTTTAAATACATGTGTCACAGAGTCGCAGTGTAAGTTAGACAAATGTACACTTGCTAACCTCAGGATGAGGCGATTTATCAGCAGCTAGAAAACCAATTGCAGCTTCAGGAACAAAGCGGATTTGCTGATGCTGCACTGCCTGTAGACAATTAGGGAAGAAGTTACTGTAACTAAACGCCTCCTAAACACATCCAGGGCATAGCCTAAATAAATTTACATCAACTACACCCCAAATAAGTAAATAAATAAATTGGACAGAATCAAGCCTGAGGGGAGAAATGGAAGAGGATAAAAGGAAGAAGATGACAGCCAAAAAAGGAGGTTAGAATCTTGATTCTGGTAACAAACCAAACCCAAACAAACAAGAAACCAACCAATAAAAATAAACAAACAAAATCCCCAAACCAGCCAAACAAAAAGAAAAAAAAAAAATCACCAACCATCTAAACAAGCAAACAAAAAAAAACGCAAAACACACTATCAAGATTCTGGCGTATGCAGGTTTCAATCCATGCTCAAGGAGAGGTGAAAGAAAAAGTACATAAAAATACACTGAGTCTTCTTTGGATGTAGAAATCTTTTCTGGATGCTTCAGCTGCTCAAGAATTTTCTTTTTCTTGGTAAAGCACAAGTTGTTTGAACTTCTGCCTGTGACATATATATATATATGTATACATGCACTATACCCAAGGCGGCACTGGAGGTTCTAGTTGGGACATGGCTTCATTCCACTCCTGGTGTTCCTTTGTTCAACCTTATCTGCCACCACTCCTAGAAATTCATCAGTGTCTTTACTTGAAGGCTCTCTAGTGATCTACTACTCTAACAGTTTGAAAAATTTAGCAGCTTCCTGCTAGTCAGTACCTTGACTGACAATGTGAAACTAAGTTGAGCCACCTGAAACTCCTAAAGGGCTGGCTTCAGTAGGTACAGACAGAGCATGCCTACAGCAGAAAAAGGAGTGGGCTCCCCAAAGCTCTGATACAGCTGTGATTTTCTTTAAAATGACAGCCAGAGAAAGTGCTGTATGGCAGCACTTTTTCATTTACACATAGCAGAACTGTGTAAAGGAGAAAGTCTTCAGCATTTTGCTCTCATGGCACAGCTTCTGGAGAGAGAGAGAAGATACTCTCTTCCCCCTGCAGATCACATCTGAGGAACAAGGTCAAGAAAAAATACAGACTCTTGCTTCTACCTCTTTGTCCTTGCTGTCCAAAGATCTTGAAACATGATGAATAAGTATCTTCCTCGGAGATAAAAGATGTGGGCTTGTACCTAATTTGAAAGAAGGTATATTTTATCTCAAGTCTTTCCTCCAGCAAGTGTTGCAATGTCATGGCTGTTTGTTGGGAAAGGCACAAATCTGTAATAATTCTCATAGTATGTTTCAAACTTAAGAGCTTCACCCAAAGGAAAAAAAAAACAACGCAGCAGTCAG